CCTCATTGGCCAAACACAAAACCTGGCTGAAATGGCCCGTGATTTGCCGGGCTTTGTGGCCAAACGAGTGAACCAGCTGCGTGCGAAGCCTGCCCTTATCTCCATCGTAGACACCACGGACACTGTGGACCAAGGTGACCTTACATTTCATCCTGCTTAATGTTACCCCTGAAGTGTATGGCATTGCTAAGAGAGGAGCAGGGAGAGATGGTCACTTGGGTAGATGGACAGTTGCATCCAATGTTTGCTTGGGTAAAAAGTTTCTATCCCTACTCTCCTCTGTTGCTCCAGTTAGTTGTCCTGAGTTCAGCTGCTTACTGAATCCGGTAAGGGCGGCCGTTATGTCTCAGTAACTCCAGTAAAAAGGAATTTTAAGACTCGGTTGTCTACCGGAGCGAAACCAGTAATGTTGTTGCATGTTTAGACAAAAGATATACTTATTCAACTATTGTACTCTGTCTCATCATAAAACCCTTCTATAGTATTGCTAGGGTTGAAGAGATAGTGAGATCGATGCTACGCTAGTCCCCCCCCCTTGTTAAAACGATCTTCAAGTGACCAATGCTCCTCTCTACGGCGGCTCCAGTCATGGTCGTGTTTTACGTACTCCATGCATATATTTTCTGAGAGCCTGCTATTTCCCATGCCCTATTTTATGCTTCCGTCTCACCTTTCTCCTTTTATTCAAGCCACACAAACCTGTGCGCTGTGGTTAAACCTGATCCAGTGCTCAGTTCGTTATTGGCTGCGTCACCTTGCATATCACTGAAACTGATCTAAAACCAAATTTGTAGTCTTTCCAAATCTTTTTTGTGTCTCGAATTTTGCTAAGCTTGCCGAGGTAGCGCCTGTCTTCGCTTCTGGCCATCGAATGGTTTCTGTCCGTCGCAGCTGCAGTCACGATCAGTTGAGATCCCAATGTAGCTCTCAAATGACCTTTGTCAGTAGGGATAAGGTGACGACCTGGCACATTTTCACCTCAACTAATTTTCCTGGTCAACTACTGTTGAAGCAGTTCAGCCTTTTTCGATGGATATTTTCATTGAACCGTATTCTCGGTTCCAAACAACTTGGTTATGGCATGTTTGTTTAATGTAACCTCAATCTTTATAGTGTATATCCGTGGCTTTATGCCGAATTATTGTACCGAAAAAATGCCACTTAGGCTCTTAAGCCAAGTAGTTTCCTTCCAAGACCTTTGTTATGGCTGACTTGTTAACAAACGTACTAGTCTAAAAGCCGTCGCGAAATTTATTGAATTCAATAAATATTGCTGTTTATGTTTGTTTACAATAAAGTAAATGTGTCTGTCCCGGTGTGTTCAGTTAAGTTTTATTAGGGCAAGATAGGCGTTCGCCTTTGAACTCCTTATTGGTTATAAGGGGACCGAGGAAAGCATCGCTACTGAAGGAAAATTCCAAATAGAGGTTTCCATAATTGCAGGTCAGAGGCGAACATCGGTTGGATGGTCGGTAATAGTAAATATGAACAACTACTTAATGATTAGCAGTAACATAGCAGACACATAATTAGTGTGCTTTTATAGGATAGTAAGAAGCTTTGCGCACGTAAACTGCTTCTCGTTATGCGACCGTTCGCGGCCTTCCTTATTTATAGCTTATAGTTAAGCGATCCGTATATTCTGTTGTGTAGCCAGCCCATTTGAAATTCCATCTTCCCGCCACCGTCTAATTTTATCTGATGTTCCACTGGTACAGCAGGTTGCTGTCTCTATAACGTCGTTGTTTGTGCTCCCCACAAAGCTTGAATTCCTACCTCTTTTCCTATTCCCAACAGTTCGCAATGAGCGCGAGATCCTATGTCCAAAGAATTCGGCTAATTCGCAAGGCCAACCTCTCAGGCGACGTCAACCTCCAGTCTTTC